AAAACTCTAAAACATAATCATTTTGAAATGGAAAGAGTATGATTTTGGAGATTTAATGGTTGTAGATGAAGAAAAACTAACAATATACCAAAACAGTATGGATTAGTCCTCATGGAACTCGTCTTCGGTGAAACACTTTGAATTCTTACCTGAAACCAGTACCATGAAGAACAGTCCATAACAATAGAGTAATAGACATGGCTCGTTTCGGTCAAAACTAAACTCTAACACAACATAGTTAACTCTAACATAAATGATATAATGTGTAAATAATTTTGAAAATGTGATATTTTTACAAAGATTTTCAAAAAGTGCCATGAAAATGTCACTTTTGAAGTGTCATTTTTAAAAAAAAATTCAACTTTTAACTGCACCAACAAATTGGAATCAGAGTTTATAAAAATGACAATTAAAACCTAATCCAAAGCCGAATTAGATACTGTTATAGAAAAGAGTAGTGTGCAAAAAACAATTGTATGTGGTCGTACCAAAGGAACGTGCCACCACGAAATAGACACAAAATTAAGAAGAAGAGGCTTACACACACTCGATAATGGTCCTTCTAAATAAGCTTAGAGAACGACTTGTACTCCTTAACTCTCCCACTACCCTCTTTGTCGCTCTATTTGTCAAACACTTTGGGATTTTTGCATCTACCTATTAATTCAATTTATATCTTACAATCAAACATAAGTAAGGAATAATTCTATACCGTATAAAATTATTTAATTGATATCAATTCGAACTTGTAATCTAATGATTTGTACTACCGGCACTGTGTTATAACTCGATGGATTGATCATCATTTTAAGATGGTCATAATTTATCAAAGTTATAGGTAATAATATATGTGATAATTAATTAATACACATATTAAATCGAATGTATTGATAAGTAATGCTTACATGCAGTCCATGTTATCTAGTCGGTACTCTTTTTTTTTTTTTTGGTCAACAGTCGATACTCTTCCCTCATCATTGGTATTAAGCAATAACTAGTCACTCCCTTTTTCTTTAGCTAATTATTTAGCTACTAACCAAGTCTCCCAACAGATGGAGAGTAGACTTTATATTTAATATATATTTGTTGGCGTCAATTTAACTATATTATGAAAAGAATCACATTTTCCATCTTAAAAAAAATTGAGTTTGTAATTTAGTCATGGTAGTTTAGTGGTACTCGCTCTATTGATCGAAATCACAAATCAATTTTAGTTAAACGCGTTTTTGCCACTAAAAATATTTATAGAACTACTAGATTCCAAAAATCATATTTGGGTAAACGAATTATATCATCTGATTCTATAAATAGAGCCTCTTGGCTTAGTTTTTCAACCTAAATCTATAAATAGAACTTCTAGGCTTGATTTGTGATTATATCTCAATGAAATCATTCGATTTCTTTAATTCCACAATCATGTAAGTCCCAGATTTGACATGGAAAATTATGACATCGCAAAAACATATTAAAGTGACATGAGAGGACAATTGTCGAGTATCGTATAAATTTTGGATTAAGGTGGGTATAAATTTAAATAATAATAACTCTTTTTTTTTTTTGAAACATGATAATAATAACTCTTGAAGATACGATAAGGTGCACTTGTTGATTGCTTGTTACTTGGTAATAATATTCTTGACGTGGAGTGGGTGCTCTTCACATCATGCATCCATTAACAAGAATCCGTATATACTTTCGATCTGCACATACACACGCCAACATGTGTTTTCTCTATAATATAAATCTGTATTTAAAAAAAAAAATTATTACCTTAATATTCAAACTAATTAAAATTCATTTTTGAGAAAAGTTTGGGTAAATTTAACTGGTTGAATAGATAAGTAAGTAATTAATTCGTTTCCCAGTACTTATCTTATTGTCTCAAGTCTTGCTTGAAGTCTTATCGTAGCCTTAACAGAAATTAGTTGGACTTGAGTTTTTTCTTAGAGTCAATTTGACACAATGCTAGATAAATAAAAGTAATATGTTTTATTTTTCTTTCATTTTATACATATTTACGAATAAATATGTACGTATACGTAGAAATATGGTAAACAAATGTATAAAAAAATAAAATAATAATGAAGATGGAGTGGAGTAATGGTAGAGAGAGATAAGAGGAGAGCCGTAGATTCCGTGAGAGACAGGCTTGCATTTCCACTTATCATTACTCCTTCCAAACCTATCTCTTAATTAACCTCTACTTCCTTATAATTAATTTCTTTTCAATAATACTATTTTTTCTATTTAAACATTTCTAGCTAGTCCAGACCAATGAAATGATCAAATGGTTAACAAAATCGACTAGAAAAGTTCTACAACAATATATAAGTAGAACAAAGTTTTAATTTCATTTACGTTGCAGAGAAAGAAAAAAAACATTGACGTTGGATTTAGTTACTCTACTAGCTAGATAGTGCATATTTGAACATAATTTTTATGGAATATATATATAAACCACGTATATTATGCAATACATCAACTATAGATTTTCTTAGACTATCTTTAAATAGTGATTTTAATCATTTAAAAATTACTATGTTTTTAACTATATTTAAGAGAAATCTTATATATAAAGGCAGATTGATTTAATTTGTAATTAACATGAACGTTTAAAATCATATGATTTTCCTCAAAATAATTTTAAAACTAATTTATTTTGGCTCAAAATGATTTAAACTTTTGGGTTTGATTGAGTATCCTTGTTATATAAATATACGTAGACAAATTATCAAAAACATCCAACCTACTATCCAATATTCATTTACATACATTATGAATTATTTAGTATATCAATCAATAATATATATGATTCACTTTCTAATTAGATATCATATGTATCTCTAACATATTTATCAAAAAGCGATTATCATAAAGAACTCGTAATATATAATTAGAACTGACGACGATATGTGATGAATCGTATAATTAGATATACTATTGTAATATATCTATCATATGTGCTTAAATTTGTTAAATTAACTCATCAAAGTGAAAACTAATTTGAACCCAAAAAAAGTAAGGAAACTAATGTATGTGGTTACACCCCCAAAATAAATCGTTATACAGAGTAAAAAAACGGATAATGAAGTGGAACAAACATATATTACTATAGAAATTTTCTAAAATTGCACAATTTTGTTAAAAAATGGTTACACA